TGGCACTGAGAAGTTAGCTGTGGACTTTGGGCTGGTTTTATCAGTCACGATAAGACCTTACCTCCGGACTTGATGGAGTGACCTGAAAGTGAACTTCAGTAACTAATACTGGAACACCTGGACTAGTAGAACTAGGTGTGCCGTGCTTGGGCTCGTTTTGTTAGGTATGATGAGTCCTTAACACCGGACTTGACGGAGTGACCTGAAGGTGTACTTTGGTAATCGCTATTGGAACTGGTCGCCGAGTAGTACTGGGTGTGCCGTGCTAGGGCTCGTTTTGTTAGGTATGATGAATCCTTAACACCGGACTTGACGGAGTGACCTGAAGGTGTACTTTGGTAATCGCTATTGGAACTGGTCGCCGAGTAGTACTAGGTATGCCGTGTTTGGGCGCGTTTTGTTAGGTATCATGAGTCCTTAACTCCGGACTTGACGGAGTGACCTTGAGGTGTACTTTGGTAATCGGTATTGGAACTGGTCGCCGAGTAATACCGATTACAAAAGTACACCTTCAGATCATTCCGTCAATTCCGGAGGTAAGGACTCATCATACCTAACAAAACGAGCCCAAACTCGGCACACCTAGTAGTACTCGGGAACCAGTTCCAATTAGCGATTACCAAAGTACACCTTTAGGTCACTCCGTCTAATCCGGAGGTAAGGGCTCAGCGTACCTAACAAAACGAGCTCAAACTCGGCACACCTAGTAGTACTCGGCGACCCGTTCCAATGCCGATTACCAAAGTACACTTTCAGGTCACTCCATCAAGTGCGGAGATAAGGGCTCAGTCATACCTAACAAAACGAGACCAAACTCGGCACACCTAGTAGTACCCAGCGACCAGTTCCAATACCGATTACCAAAGTACACCTTCAGGTCACTCCATCAAGTCCGGAGGTAAGGACTCATCATACCTAGCAAAACGAGCCCAACCTCGGCACAACTAGTAGTACTCAGCGACCAGTTCCAATACCGATTACCAAAGTACACCTTCAGGTCACTCTGTCAAGTCCGGAGGTAAGGACTCATCATACCTAGCAAAACGAGCCCAACCTCGGCACACCTAGTAGTACTCAGCGACCTGTTCCAATTCCGATTGCCAAAGTACACCTTCAGGTCACTCCATCAAGTCCGGAGGTAAGGGCTCGTCATACCTAACAAAACGAGACCAAACTCGGCACAAATAGTAGTACTCGGCGACCTGTTCCAATACCGATTACCAAAGTACACCTTCAGGTCACTCCATCAAGTCCGGAGGTAAGGTAATAGAAAACAGTAAAATAAATTTGAATTTTCTAATGGTTTTATTTGAAACTATTCTTTTTCTCTTATTTTAGCTATTTTGCCAACGAAACTTGGGTTTTTTTTAGAATTTGTGAGTTGGCGTTTTAAATGTTTATGTATGTAAATAGTTGACTAAGTACCTGCTCATATCATAAAACTGACTTTAAAAAAATATTGATAATTAAAATGTAGTATGATGTCCAGACTACCGATATCGTAAACAGTTTTGATATTAGTGAGTAGGTACTCAAAATATTATTACTATAATACCTAGTAGTGTTGAGAACAGTAGACCTCACGGAAAAGTTTTTGTTTGGAGGTGAATTGTCTGCTTGCTTTGCGCATACTGTGTTCACGCGGCGCTCTCCGACAGCCGGTTGCGCTCCGCCCACTGCGGGACGCGCCGGTGAAAAACGAATTTGAAATCGTGCTAAGACCTCGTCTTAATCAATCATATTAGTAAAAATTTCAGCTAAGCAAGAAATGAATATCTATGATTGCCGACGATTCAAAAAGGGTTTTTAAACATTCTTAACCTAACACACACACACGCACACACGCACACACACACACACACACACACACACACACACACACACACACACACGCACGCACACACACACACACACACACACACAAGAGAGAGAGAGAGAGAGAGAGATTATTTTTATTATGTCTCTAAAATTGTATAAATATTATTTCTATTTAAAAAAAAAACTATAATAATTTTAAACAATACAACTACGTATTCCTAATCATCAGGGGGGATGGGACTGTATCTCCTAAATACAGGTTACTCAGTAACCTAGCTAGGAGACTCAGGTTTCTACCCATTTCAAATTGTGAACTATGAATGTCAATAAAGAATTATTATTATTATTATTGGGGTATCTATATAGTTTTCTCATCTGGTTGGGTTCTATAAATATATAATTATAAATTAAAATGAAAAGATAAATGTACATATATATCAATAAAATAAAATAAATACAAAAACTACATAAATAAATAAGATCCAACCAGATGGGAGCCTTCGGCAGGGGAGACCAGACGGCCGAGGGTTGGGGGAAAGGGAAAGAAACCGGCGGACGATGCGGGCGGTATCGAGGAGCACTGCCTTCTGCATTTGAGCCCGGAGCGGTCAGTCACGGAGTCCCAGTCGCCTCAGATGACCCGAGAGGCTGATTGGGATTAGCCCATTCGCAGAGACGACTACAGGAATAATTTCGGTCGACACACCACCCCACATGTAGGTCACCTCGTGAGCCAGGTCAAGATATTTTGTTTGTTTATCTGTTTCGGCTTTCACGAGGTTCTCGTCATACGGAATGGTAATGTCCATCAAAAATATCCTTGACTGTGCCCGGTCCATCAGCACAATATCAGGCTTATTCGCAAGAATAGTCCTGTCTGTGATGATGGCCCGGTCCGAGTTGAGCCTGGCGCGGTCATTTTCGAGCACGGCTTCCGGCAAGTACTTGTAATACGGCAATTTGCGGTCCTCGAGACCGTATTTCAGTGCGAGCGCCTGGTGTTGAATTGTGGCTACTTGGTTGTGCGTGTGCAAGTACTCAGAGTTAGAAAGCGCCGAACAACCGGAAATGACATACCTAAGTAACTCCCCGGGATGGCGACAAGCTCGACAGACGTCGACAGTGCCATCCTTTAGGATGTATCTCCGATAGTTGTTGGTCTTAATAACCTGATCCTGTATTGCACAGACAAAACCCTCGGTTTCCCCGAAGAGGTCACCGAAACGTAGCCAGTTGAGGGAGGCGGCTGTATCTACGTGAGGCTCATGTAGAGCCCTGTAGTACCTCCCATGGAGCTCCTTCTCCTTCCATACGGTCTCCCGGTCGGAAATACTCTGTACTGCCGGGTCTTGCCATTGCTCGTTGGCTAAGGATAGAGGGGTAAGTCCTTTATCACTAGAAATGACGTCATTATAGAATGGATCATCCGATCTCGCCAGGAAGTAATGACGGAGGCTGCACACTTCGCGATTATGCATGGTGAGCGCGCTCAGGAAGCCACGCCCACCATGCTTTCGCAGCAAGTACAGCCTCATTACCGACGATCTCGGATGATGCATCCTATGGGACGTCATTGCAGTGCGGACTTTTCTATCCAGGGCGTTAAGTTCAGTCTGACTCCACCTGAGTATGCCAAAGGTATACATGAGGACAGGCATGACCCAACCGTTATATGCGTGTGTCTTATACACACCGGACAAAAGGCTGTTAAGCACTTTGGTCAAGCGTGCATAAAACACGTCGCAAACTGACTGTTTCATACCAGCCTCATCGATACCGATGTTCTGTGACATACCCAGTATCGGTATGTCACAGAACACAACATCGGTATCGGTATGTTTCAGCCTCGGAAAGGGCCCTTAAGTTGACGGGCATAGATAAGTCTATGCCCTCAGAGTTAGCAACCCTTCACCTTTCAATATGGAGGACCGCACACTTATCCGTCCCCAGCTCCATTCCAATAGAATTGCTGAATTCACAAGTGATGTTTAGCAATTCCATAAGATGGGAGCGACTGGAGGCGAATAATTTGAGGTCATCCATATAGAAAAGGTGGGTCACTTTTGTCCCTCCTCTCCGTAGCTGAAATCCCCTCCCGGAGCCCTCCAGTAAAGTACTGAGAGAGTTCAAAGAGAGGCAGAACCAGATTGGACTCAGACAGTTGCCCTGGAATATACCCCTTCTTATCCTTATGCGGCTTTCCGCAGCCGTCATCCGCTCGCCCAGATTACAGAGGATCGTACTCCACTGCCCCATACACTGCCCGAGCAAGTCTCGAACTGTACAGTCAATCTTGTACAGCTCGAGGACCCTCTTTAGCCATGTATGGGGCACCGAGTCAATTGCCTTTCTGTAATCTATCCAAGCGGCAGAAAAGTTCCGACGGTTGCGTTTCACCACTTTGCCAATGACCTCGTCAATGAGGAGTTGTTCCTTGGTTCCACGACCGCCGCCCCGACATCCATTTTGAGCGCGCGACATCACCTGATTTGAGTCCATGTGACGAGCGATTAGTGTCTTGTATATAGTCGGTAGACACGTGATGGGGCGGTATTAGCTCGGGTCTGTGGCACCCTGATCTTTAGGAACCAAATGAGTGATCCCAGTAGTGAAGAGGCTTGGGAGCGACTTCTGGTTGAGAGCCTCTTGAAACTGTTGGGCGAGCACAGCGTGACACACCATGAACTCCTTCAGCCAGTAGTGATGCAGCCCGTCAAGCCCCGGACTTTTCCAGTTCGGGGCCCTACGGACCACCTCAGCTACGTCATCCGGCGTTATGATGACGGGGTCCATGGGCATAATACCCGCACACTGACTCGCCACAACTTCCGTCCAAGGGCCCTCGTTGTGGTTTACGGGCTCTGACCACAGGCTGCGCCAGAATGCGACCGTGTCGGCCTGATTTGGTGCTGGGCCCGTTCCACTTACTATTGGTCGCTCCAATGATTTGTAGAGCCTCTTCTGATCACTCTGGAAGAGACGATTCTGGTTGAACCGTGTCGACCTCTCGGTATATCGCCGAATCCGCTTTCCCCAGACAGCGATTCTTTGCTTCAGGTCGTCTATGCGCTCCGTCAGTTTTTGCGTTATATCCGGCTGGGACAAACTAACATTTGTCCGAGCAAACGCCATCCTGACGGTGCGCACAATCCTTGGCCTGGTATTGCCTGACCTGAAGCATATCAGTCTGCTAGCCTAGCTAGCAGACTGATATGCTCCCTAGCCCTTGCGATACGTTCTTCAATTCTTATTCTCCAGGCTGGGATAGCACTACTTTGTCCAGTAGCGCGTCCAGCCGTGGAAAGTTTGGCGCCTATAATACGGCAGACTGCCAGTGCAGCGTCAAAAATAATTGAGACCGTCTCGCAAAGGTCCCGGCTGGCTTCCAAGTAGGTAACCAGCATTGGGTTCAGAGCCCTCACGACAGCCCGATTCCGCTTGCTTAGGGCTAAGCGGGGAAGTCGCGGTCGATTTTCGAGAGGCGTACTGCGCGTTTCCACAATCGCCTCTTCCAATGTACTCCTCGTTTGCTCTAGTTCCAGTTCCTGAGCGACTGTTCCGTCATCGTTTGAATCAACCACAACTGGCGTATTCACGGCGGTATCCACATTTGCCGTTTGCTCAGCAAGTTGTGGCACCGCATCCTCAGCCGCAGCATTTTCACCCGATGAACGAACAGCCTCACGTCGTAGCCGTTCGACATCAAATGTATTTGAGCGCAAGATATACCGAACTCGGTCTGCCAGGTTTTGCTCGGTGACGGTTACAGATGGCTCCAGCTCAGCAAAAAGTCGATGCATCCTTGCCCGATACGCAAAACCTCCAGTTTCTCCCCCTTTCGCCCTAAAATACGCCCGCAATGCGTTGCTGTTCATCTGGGTTGTCCAACGAATGCGGTGTACTCCACCAGTGGAGGGTGTCGATTGCTGGGCCCGCGAAGACCCTGCCGACACCAAACCAGCTGGTGGGGAAGATGGATGCGAGGGGCTGCTAGGTGTTCGTGCAGCACCTCGCGCTCGGCTGGCGGTTCGCATGCTGTCGCGTCCAGCGCCAGCTCCAGACGCGCCCTGGCGACCTCCAGGCAGCAGCCCTTTGCGCGTTCTTCCGTATTCCATCATCCATAGTGGTGGGCGTCATTTAGCGGGAGACGCCCAGACCCGGCGCCGTTTCATGGTGAGGCCATGTGCACAAGCGGGCTTTTGCACCTTCAATTTTTGCCGAGGCATGGCACTAACACCTCTCGGCAAGGTGCTGACTGACTGCGCTGACGTACCGGTTTTGTCACATAACCGTTACGTCAGCGGGCGATGGGGTCGTCACTTCCCTACGCCTTTATTATTATTATTATTATTGTGGGGTATCTATATAGTTTTCTCATCTGGTTGCGTTCTATAAATATATAATTATAAATGAAAATGAAAAGATAAATATACATAAATATCAATAACATAAAATAAATATAAAAATACATAAATAAATAAAAGCCCAACCAGATGGAGGCCCTCGGCAGGGGAGACCAAACGGCCGAGGGTTAGGGGGAAAGGGAAAGAAACCGGCGGACGATGCGGGCGGTATCGAGGAGCACCGCCTTCTACATTTGAGCCCGGAGCGGTCCACCACGTAGTCCCAGCCGCCTCAGATGACCCGAGAGGCTGACTGGGATTAGCCCGTTTGCAGAGACGACTACAGGAATAATTTCGGTCGGCAGACCACCCCACATGTCGGTCACCTCGTGAGCCAGGTCCAGATATTTTGTTTGCTTGTCTGTTTCGGCTTTCACGAGGTTCTCGTCATACGGAATGGTAATGTCGACCAAAAATATCCTTGACTGTGCCCGGTCCATCAGCACAATATCAGGCTTATTCGCAAGAATAGTCCTGTCTGTGATGATGCCCGGTCCCAATAGAGCCTGGCGCGATCATTTTCGAGCACGGCTTCTGGCAAGTACTTGTAATACGGCAATTTCCGATCCACGAGACCGTATTTCAGAGCGAGCTCCTGGTGAAGAATTCTGGCTACTAGGTTGTGCCTGTGCAAGTACTCAGAGTTAGAAAGCGCCGAACAACCGGAGATGACATGCCTAAGTGACTCACCGGGATGGCGACAAGCTCGACAGATGTCCACGGTGCCGTCCTTTAGGATGTATCTCCGATAGTTGTTGGTCTTAATAACCTGATCCTGTATTGCACAGACAAAACCCTCGGTTTCCCCGAAGAGGTCACCAAAGCGTAGCCAGTGGAGGGAGGCTACTGTGTCTACGAAAGGCTCATGTAGAGCCTTGTAGAACCTCCCGTGGAGCTCCTTCTCCTTCCATACGGTCTCTCGGTCGGAAATGCTCTGCACTGCCGGGTCTTGCCATTGCTCGTTGGCTAAGGATAGAGGGGTAAGTCCTTTATCACAAGAAATGACGTCCATATAGAATGGATCATCCGATCTCACCAGGAAGTAATCACGGAGGCTGCACACTTCGCGATTATGCATGGTGAGCGCGCTCAAGAAGCCACGACCACCATGCTTCCGCGACAAGTACAACCTCATTACCGACGATCTCGGATGATGCATCCTATGGGACGTCATGGTAGTGCGGACTTTTCTATCCAGGGCGTTAAGTTCAGTCTGAGTCCACCTGAGTATGCCAAAGGTATACATGAGGACAGGCATGACCCAGCCGTTATATGCGTGTACCTTATTCACACCGGACAAAAGGCTGTTAAGCACTTTGGTCAAGCGTGCATAAAACACGTCGCAAACTGACTGTTTCATACCAGTCTCATCGATACCGATGTTTTGTGACATACCCAGGTATCGGTATGTTTCAGCCTCGGAAAGGGTCCTTAAGTTGACGGGCATAGATAAGTCTACCACCTCAGAGTTAGCAACCCTTCCCCTTTCAACATGGAGGACCGCACACTTATCCGTCCCAAGTTCCATTCCAATGGAATTGCTAAATTCACAAGTGATGTTTAGCAATTCCATAAGATGGGAGCGACTGGAGGCGAATAACTTGAGGTCATCCATATAGAAAAGGTGGGTCACTTTTGTCCCTCCTCTCCGTAGCTGAAATCCCCTCCCGGAGCCCTCCAGTAAGGTACTGAGAGGGTTCAGAGAGAGGCAGAACCATAATGGACTCAGACAATCGCCCTGGAAGATACCCCTTCTTATCCTTATGTGGTTCTCCGCAGCCATCATCCGCTCGCCCAGATGACAAAGGATCGTACTCCACTGCCCCATACACTGCTCAAGGAAGTCTCTAACTGTACAGTCTATCTTGTACAGCTCGAGGACTCTCTTTAGCCATGTATGGGGCACCGAGTCGAATGCCTTTCTGTAGTCTATCCAGGCGGCGGAGAAGTTCCGACGGTTGCGTTTCACCACTTTGCCAATGACCGCGTCAATGAGGAGTGGTTCCTTGGTTCCACGACCACCGCCCCGACATCCATTTTGAGCGCGCGACATCACCTGATTTGAGTCCAGGTGACAAGTGATTCTCGCGCTCCAAATGGATGTTAGTGTCTTGTATATGGTCGGTAGACACGTGATGGGGGCGGTATTTGCTCGGGTCTGTGGTACCCCGGTCTTTAGGAACCAAATGAGTGATCCCAGTAGTGAAGAGGCTTGGGAGCGACTTCTGGTTGAGAGCCTCTTGAAACTGTCGGGCAAGCACAGAGTGACACACCATGAACTCCTTCAGCCAGTAGTGATGCAGCCCGTCAAGCCCCGGACTTTTCCAGTTCGGGGCCCTACGGACCGCCTCAGCTACGTCATCCGGCGTTATGATGACGGGGTCCATGGGCGTAATACCCGCACACTGACTCGCCACAACTTCCGTCCAAGGGCCCTCGCTGTGGTTTACGGGCTCTGACCACAGGCCGCGCCAGAATGCTACAGTGTCGGCCTGATTCGGTGCTGGACCCGTTCCACTTACCATTGGTCGCTCCATTTATTATTACCATTATTATTATGTGGGGTATCTATATAGTTTTCTCATCTGGTTGGGATGTATAAATATATAATTATAAACGAAAATGAAAAGACAAATATATAAAAATATCAATAAAATAAAATAAATACGAAAATACATAATTAAAAGCCCAACCAGATGGAAGCCCTCGGCAGGGTAGACCAAACGGCCGAGGGTTAGGGGGAAAGGGAAAGAAACCGGCGGACGATGCGGGCGGTATCGAGGAGCACCGGCTTCTGCATTTGAGCCTGGAGCGGTCCGCCACGTAGTCCCAGCCGCCTCAGATGACCCGAGAGGCTGACTGGGATTAGCCCGTTTGCAGAGACGACTACAGGAATAATTTCGGTCGGCAGACCACCCCACATGTCGGTCACCTCGTGAGCCAGGTCCAGATATTTTGTTTGCTTATCTGTTTCGGCTTTCACGAGGTTCTCGTCACACGGAATGGTAATGTCGACCAAAAATATCCTTGACTGTGCCCGGTCCATCAGCACAATATCAGGCTTATTCGCAAGAATAGTCCTGTCTGTGATGATGGCCCGGTCCCAGTAGAGCCTGGCACGGTCATTTTCGAGCACGGCTTCCGGCAAGTACTTGTAATACGGCAACTTCCGATCCACGAAACCGTATTTCAGAGCGAGCTCCTGGTGTAGAATTCTGGCTACTAGGTTGTGCCTGTGCAAGTACTCAGAGTTAGAAAGCGCCGAACAACCGGAGATGACATGCCTAAGTGACTCACCGGGATGGCGACAAGCTCGACAGATGTCGATGGTGCCATCCTTTAGGATGTATCTCCGATAGTTGTTGGTCTTAATAACCTGATCCTGTATTGCACAGACAAAACCCTCGGTTTCCCCGAAGAGGTCACCAAAGCGTAGCCAGTGGAGAGAGGTTACTGTGTCTACGAAAGGCCCATGTAGAGACTTGTAGAACCTCCCGTGGAGCTCCTTCTCCTTCCATACGGTCTCCCGGTTGGAAATTGTCTGCACTGCCGGGTCTTGCCATTGCTCGTTTGCTAAGGATAGAGGGGTAAGTCCTTTATCACAAGAAATGACGTCCTTATGGAATGGATCATCCGATCTCGCCAGGAAGTAATTACGGAGGCTGCACACTTCGCGATTGTGCATGGTGAGCGCGCTCAAGAAGCCACGCCCACCATGCTTTCGCGGCAAGTACAGCCTCATTACCGACGACCTCGGATGATGCATCCTGTGGGACGTCATGGTAGTGCGGACTTTTCTATCCAGGGCGTTAAGTTCAGTCTGTGTCCACCTGAGTATGCCAAAGGTATACATGAGGACAGGCATGACCCAGCCGTTATATGCTTGTGTCTTATTCACACCGGACAAAAGGCTGTTAAGCACTTTGGTCAAGCGTGCATAAAACACGTCGCAAACTGACTGTTTCATACCAGCCTCATCGATACCAATGTTCTGTGACATACCCAGGTATCGGTATGTTTCAGCCTCGGAAAGGGTCCTTAAGTTGACGGGCATAGATAAGTCTATGCCCTCAGAGTTAGCAACCCTACCCCTCTCAACATGGAGGACCGCACACTTATCCGTCCCCAGCTCCATTCCAATGGAATTGCTAAATTCACAAGTGATGTTTAGCAGTTCCATAAGATGGAAGCGACTGGAGGCGAATAACTTGAGGTCATCCATATAGAAAAGGTGGGTCACTTTTGTCCCTCCTTTCCGTAGCTGAAATCCCCCTCCCGGAGCCCTCCAGTAAGGTACTGAGAGGGTTCAGAGAGAGGCAGAACCATATTGGACTCAGACAATCGCCCTGGAAGATACCCCTTCTTATCCTTATGTGGTTCTCCGCAGCCGTCATCCGCTCGCCCAGATGACAAAGGATCGTACTCCACTGCCCCATACACTGCTCGAGGAAGTCTCTAACTGTACAGTCTATCTTGTACAGTTCGAGGACTCTCTTTAGCCATGTATGGGGCACCGAGTCGAATGCCTTTCTGTAGTCTATCCAGGCGGCGGAGAAGTTCCGACGGTTGCGTTTCACCACTTTGCCAATGACCGCGTCAATGAGGAGTGGTTCCTTGGTTCCACGACCGCCGCCCCGACATCCATTTTGAGCGCGCGACATCACCTGATTTGAGTCCAGGTGACAAGTGATTCTCGCGCTCAAAATGGATGTTAGTGTCTTGTATATGGTTTATTATTATTATTATTATTATTATTATTGTGGGGTATCTATATAGTTTTCTCATCTGGTTGGGTTCTATAAATATATAATTATAAATGAAAATGAAAAAATAAATATACATAAATATCAATAACATAAAATAAATATAAAAGTACATAAATAAATAAAAGCCCAACCAGATGGAGGCCCTCGGCAGGGGAGACCAAACGGCCGAGGGTTAGGGGGAAAGGGAAAGAAACCGGCGGACGATGCGGGCGGTATCGAGGAGCACCGCCTTCTGCATTTGAACCTGGAGCGGTCCGCCACGTAGTCCCAGCCGCCTCAGATGACCCGAGAGGCTGACTGGGATTAGCCCGTTTGCAGAGACGACTACAGGAATAATTTCGGTCGGCAGACCACCCCACATGTCGGTCACCTCGTGAGCCAGGTCCAGATATTTTGTTTGCTTGTCTGTTTCGGCTTTCACGAGGTTCTCGTCATACGGAATGGTAATGTCGACCAAAAATATCCTTGACTGTGCCCGGTCCATCAGCACAATATCAGGCTTATTCGCAAGAATAGTCCTGTCTGTGATGATGGCCGGTCCCAATAGAGCCTGGCGCGATCATTTTCGAGCACGGCTTCCGGCAAGTACTTGTAGTACGGCAATTTCCGGTCCACGAGACCGTATTTCAGAGCGAGCTCCTGGTGTAGAATTCTGGCTACTAGGTTGTGCCTGTGCAAGTACTCAGAGTTAGAAAGCGCCGAACAACCGGAGATAACATGCCTAAGTGACTCACCGGGATGGCGACAAGCTCGACAGATGTCGACGGTGCCATCCTTTAGGATGTATCTCCGATAGTTGTTGGTCTTAATAACCTGATCCTGTATTGCACAGACAAAACCCTCGGTTTCTCCGAAGAGGTCACCGAAACGTAGCCAGTGGAGGGAGGTTACTGTGTCTACGAAAGGCTCATGTAGAGCCTTGTAGAACCTCCCGTGGAGCTCCTTCTCCTTCCATACGGTCTCTCGGTCGGAAATGCTCTGCACTGCCGGGTCTTGCCATTGCTCGTTGGCTAAGGATAGAGGGGTAAGTCCTTTATCACAAGAAATGACGTCCATATAGAATGGATCACCCGATCTCGCCAGGAAGTACTGACGGAGACTGCACAATTCGCGATTATGCATGGTGAGCGCGCTCAGAAAGCCACGCCCACCATATATTCGCGGCAAGTACAGCCTCATTACCGACGATCTCGGATGATGCATCCTATGGGACGTCATGGTAGTGCGGACTTTTCTATCCAGGGCGTTAAGCTCAGTCTGAGTCCACCTGAGTATGCCAAAGGTATACATGAGGACAGGCATGACCCAGCCGTTATATGCGTGTGTCTTATTCACACCGGACAAAAGGCTGTTAAGCACTTTGGTCAAGCGTGCATAAAACACGTCGCAAACTGACTGTTTCATACCAGCCTCATCGATACCGATGTTCTGTGACATACCCAGTTGACGGGCATAGACAAGTCTATGCCCTCAGAGTTAGCAACCCTTCCCCTTTCAACATGGAGGACCGCACACTTATCCGTCCCCAGCTCCATTCCAATGGAACTGCTAAATTCACAAGTGATGTTTAGCAGTTCCATAAGATGGGAGCGACTGGAGGCGAATAACTTGAGGTCATCCATATAGAAAAGGTGGGTCACTTTTGTCCCTCCTCTCCGTAGCTGAAATTCCCTCCCGGAGCCCTCCAGTAAGGTACTGAGAGGGTTAAGAGAGAGGCAGAACCAGATTGGACTCAGACAATCGCCCTGGAAGATACCCCTTCTTATCCTTATGTGGTTCTCCGCAGCCGTCATCCGCTCGCCCAGATGACAAAGGATCGTACTCCACTGCCCCATACACTGCTCGAGGAAGTCTCTAACTGTACAGTCAATCTTGTACAGCTCGAGGACCCTCTTTAGCCATGTATGGGGCACCGAGTTGAACGCCTTTCTGTAGTCTATCCAGGCGGCAGAGAAGTTCCGACGGTTGCGTTTCACCACTTTGCCTATGACCGCGTCAATGAGGAGTGGTTCCTTAGTTCCACGACCACCGCCCCGACATCCATTTTGAGCGCGTGACATCACCTGGTTTAGCTCCAGGTGACGAGTGATTCTCGCGCTCAAAATGGATGTCAGTGTCTTATATATGGTGGGTAGACACGTGATGGGGCGGTATTTGCTCGGGTCTGTGGTATCTTGATCTTTAGGAACCAAGTGAGTGATCCCAGTAGTGAAGAGGCTCGGGAGTGACTTCTGGTCGAGAGCCTCTTGAAACTGTCGGGCGAGCACAGCGTGACACTCTACGAACCCCTTCAGCCAGTAATGATGCAGCCCGTCGAGCCCCGGTCTTTTCCAGTTCGGGGCCCTACGGACCGCCTCAGCCACGTCTTCTGGCGTTATGGTGATGGGGTCCATAGGCGTAACATTCGCACCCTGGCTCGCCACAACTTCCATCCAAGGGCCCTCACTGTGATTTACGGGCTCTGACCACAGGCCACGCCAGAATGCGATAATGTCAGCCTGATCCGGTCCTTGGCCCGCTACACATACCTTTGGTCGCTCCAATAATTTATAGAGCCTCTTCTGATCACTCTGGAAGAGACGATTCTGGTTGAACCGCCTTGACCCCTCGAAAAATCGTCGAATCCGCTTCCCCCAAGCAGCGATCTTTTGCTTCAGGTCGTCTATGCGCTCCGTTAGTTTCTGCGTGATATCCGGCTGGGACAAACTGATATTTGTCCCAGCAAACGCCATCCTAACGGTGCGCATAATCCTCGGTCTATTATTACCCGACCTGAAGCTTGTCAGTCTGCCGATAAGGGCCCTTGCCTTTGCGATACGGTCCTCGATTCTTTTCCTCCAGGCTGGGATGGCGTTACTTTGTGTAGTAGCGCGTCCAGCCATGGGAAGTTTGGCGCCAATAATACGGCAAACTGCCACTGCGGCGCCAAAGAGAATCGAGTCCGTCTCGCAAAGGTCCCGGCTGGCTTCCAAATAGGTCACCAGCATTGGGTTAAGAGCCCTCACGACAGCCCGATTTCGCTTGCTTAAGGGTATGCGGGGAAGTCGCGGTCGATTTTCGAGAGGGGTGCTGCGCGTTTCCAAAATCGCCTCTTCCAATATACTCCTCATTTGCTCTAGTTCGTGGGAGACTATTTCATCGTCGTTCGAATCAACCACAACTGGAAGATCCATGGCGGCTTCCACGTGTGGATGCTGGTTTGTCGAATGTGGAGCTGCATCTCCAGCCATAGCCGATTCATTCGACGACGGAATAGCCTCACGTCGTAGTCGTTCGAGTTCGGCATCATCAAATATTTTCGAGCGCATGATGTACCGAACTCGGTCTTTTGCATGTACAATTTTGCCTAGGCACGGCGCTCACACCTCTTGGCAGGATGCTGACTGACTGCGCCGACGTCGCAGTTTTGTCACATAACTGTTACGTCAGCGGGCGATGGGGTCGTCACTTCCCTACGCCTTATTATTATTATTATTATTATTATTATTAAAACAGTATTCCTAAGCACAGAATACAGATTATAATAATTCAAAAATCGCTACACAATACACTGCAAGAGATCGTAAATGGGGTTGGTTGAATGATCTACTAAAAAAAAATATCATTGCAGGCAGCAGAATGGTTTTTAAAATATAATCAATTGTGACTATGTCATGGTCGTGAATCGAGCGAAATGTAAAAGAATTAATTCTTAAATTGCGGCTCCGGCTTACAAACACGGAGCTGTTTTTTTACTATTTGTCCGTTCGTACACTGTTATTTGGACATCAATTTGAGGTGTAGTGCACCTGCTAACCTGTTTAAATATTTATTGTTTTACGGGCATCGGCTCGTAAATGTTGTGAGGATAATTTGAAAACTTCGTTGTTTTCAATATTGAATCATCGATAAAATAGATATTATTAGTAGGTAACTTAGTATTAACAAAATATTAGTATTAGAAAACAGATACCACTGATATTGTAATTTTTTTTGCAACTTTAGTTTCTAATTTACTTCGGCGGTAAAGGAAAACAAATACATAAATAACATAAAAACTCACGCCTGTCATCCAGAGGGGTAGGCAGATACTACGGACTTCCACATGGCATGATCCTGACACATACACACTAGTCGGTTAATGGTATTCCTAATGTGGCCCATTTATAAAATATCGCAAATTTGGTCGATGAACCTTCTTCTAGGGCGTCCCTTCCCGACTCTGTCGTTCACGTCGTTGTCACGTAGCTTTGTCACCCTTTCCTCGTTAATTCTTACTACATGACCAAACCACCGTAGCATTCCTTTCTTAATATTGGTCACAACGTCATCTTGCACGCCACATTTTTTTCTTATCACGCAATTTCTCACCCTGCCATTCAGATTCAGCCCTAGCATACTACTTAAAGACCGCATTTCTACAGCATTTATTCTACTTTCGTGCTTCTTCTGCCACACCCAACTTTCACTACCAAACATATAAGTGGGGATCAACACAGCATTTTAAATTACTATACGTGCCTTTTTTGACATAAAAAGTGAAAGAAAACATTGTAAGGAAAACTGCTTAGGCTGAAAAATATATGTTCCGAGGACTTTAAATCCACCAAGAAGGTGCAGCGGACTAATTACCGTTTACCACACAACCCTCTCAGAAATGAGAGGAGACGTATAGAGGACTTTACGATACTTTTTATACTATGTTAAGATTAAAAAAAAATGCTATGTTATATAAGCCGTGGAGCCGTGGTAGTTCGGGGGCTAAGCGCTCACTGTCACAGTACGCAAGCAACCCGGGATCGATACTTGCCGGCACTAATGAAAATGTTAATTACAATTTTAAATGCTGATTTACCACGTGCTCGGCAGTGGAGGAAAACATCGTGAGGAAACCTTCATGTCCGAGAAATAAGAATAAAAATATTTCGAAAACATGTGAAGTTCGCAAACACGCATTGGTACAGCGCAGTGGACATTTTTTTGCACTAAAACCGTCTCGGAAATGAGACGAGGCCTGCCTGTGTCCAGCAGTAACCTTAATTTTTAAATTTTATGTAAAATAATCCCGTGTACATTTTATCATTCATTTATGAATATTATATCTGCGGTATAATATTCAATGGACTTTTGATCGTCTATAATGAATGAATAAATTATGAAATCCATTATTTGTAAGTATTATGTGTATTAACTAATTAAATACAGCTACTTTTCTACATCGTTAGTGAGGCACCAACACAAAACCATGCGCTGCAAATACCATCAGATGGACAGTGGAATGTTAGAAAGCTCGTTCCTAATCTTGCTGTTATGAAAAAGTAGTATGCAATAACAGAAAAACAAAAAAATCTTTTTTTTTATAAAATAGGGTTGACAAACGCGCACGCAGTCCACCTAATGGTAAGTGGATGCTGTGACCCATAGATATCAACATTTATCCTCGATTAAGAATAAAATCGCAGATGCATTGTCATCCTGAGGACTAATATGGAATGCCTCGTTTCTAGTAAAAAGGATCTCCGGGTCTCTACACTCACCATACGAAACACAGCAGCATTAAACTGCTATTTTACACAGGTATTCGTTGAAAACGTGGTTCTTCCCCGATCGAGCCGACCCATTCGTGTTACAACCAAAATATAGAGATTGTCACCCCACTTACTTATTAATCATCAACTAATCTTACCTGCACGTGGTTCACCATTTAACGCACGAGGTTCTGGCGATCAAATGATTTTAGAAATCAAATTTCAAAATACGATGAAACAAAATCCCATAGGAGATCGATACTAGTGCGAAGGTAACGTCTCTACTTACTCTCCCGCATGTCCGGTGTGAAGAATATGAACAATCCCTTGAAGATATGCGTCATTTGGTGCATTCTTAGAACGACCCACATCCATAGATCAAAGGCAAGGTCCATCAACCAAAAACAGAAAATATATAAATATACATATATTTATGTGTTGGCCTATAAACGTCAGCGAGAAAATAAAATATATTGATATAATGCGTTACTACACATATTATTATCATCTTATGTTATAATCTTATCTCATATGCTACAAGATAAACCACTACCCCAATATCATCCCGTGAGTGTCGTTAGAAAAACCAGAAACAGAATGTGAACAGCATCTCTCTATATAAGAAGATAGACTGTAATGATGACGATGATGAAGATTATCATTTTGTGCGTGTTTCGGAATACAAAAGGGGTAATAAAATGACTGAATAAACTTTGTTGCTAGTCGCGTGCGATTCTTACGCAATCGCTCTTGTATTAAATATTTTATACGATACAAAGTTGATATCAATTTTATGCCTTTAAATAAAAGTAAAAACAAATTACTTTTATCCGACTTTAAAAAAAGGAGGAGGTACTCAATTCGACTGACCACAAGTTTTTAGGTTATTCTTAATAGGGCACATTTAATTGACTTCGACTACATTCATGATTTCTCATTTTATTTATATTGAAATCGGTTGTATAATCTTTTTTATTTTACCACTTGTACCCATACTTCTTATGACGGATTAGCCTTGAAAGTATTTTATTTAAATAAAAGTAACCCCGGTGTTAAAAAGCGTAATAATATCATTAACTTGGTTCGAATTCGAAATGTCCCCGCCCATGCGTTTTGTAATATTTTGGCTATCTCCCTTCATCCGGTTTGAGCGAGGGGAACCATCCGAGGGAGGAGCTTTATTTCGTGACGTTTATAATACGTTACGCAGTTAAGTGACAGTTAAGATATAATTATTAGTATTTAGGTAAGTATTTATTTTAAACCCTATCCTTTTTATTCTATATTAGTATTATTTTTCTCTAAAGTATTATCCATGAGTAAGTTTGTCTGTGTGGATGTTTGTTATTCAGTCACATTCAAAGGTTTAAGAGATTTTAGTAAAATTTTACATAGAGGAATATTTTATCATCGAAAAGGTCGTAAGGTACTTTTATAACAGTGTTACTGAAGTTTTATTTACGTCTAGCAAAGCGGACAAGTTTCAAGAACTAATGTTTAAATAAGTTTAATTTAGTTAATAATGACGTTGTAGGGACTAACATCAACAAAATTATGACTGATACATGATTTAATTCCTTCAGTATTCAGCAAAGGAGTGAAATAATTTTCCAGCGTCTGTTTTTGCGGCCACTTACAATGTTAACCCTAATCATGGATAAGACGATTTACAATCCATAGCTTCATCGAAACTCACCAGGCGGAATTGACATGAAGTCAAGCACTGGCTTCGTCAAAATGTGGTGGAGCCACGCTGCAGCTATGTTATAGTTGTAGCACGAATGAGTCGACTCGACCGGGGAAGGACCACGCTCTCTCAGAGACCAGTGTAAAATAACAACTCAATGGTGCTCCGTTTCGTATGTTGAGTCCGGAGACATTTTACTGGAAACGAGGCATTCCCTCTTGGTCCTCATGGGTGACAACACATCTGCATTTTGATTCTTAATTGAGTAGGTGTATTGTATAGATGTCTAAGGGCCACAGCAGCCACTTACCATCAAGTAAAATGTGAGCTGATATTCTGTCGGAGTGTGGCCCTTCCCTGTTGGAGGCTGCCCTTTCGTGTTGCAAGTAGGTGATCAATACCTATAAACGAGCAATTCTTGTAATATATAATATAAGCTGAAGTGTATAAATGTAATATATAATATAAGCTGAAGTGGCAATGGGCCGGCCATATAGCTCGAAGAACCGATAACCGATGGGGAAGAAAGGTTCTCGAGGTCGAGTGGCAGCCTCGTACCGGTAGGCGTAGTGTAGGGCGACCCCCATTAGATGGAGTGACGACCTGGTAAGATATGCAGGAAGTCGATGGATGCAGGTGGCTCAGGACCGTGCTTTGTGGCATTACTTGGGGGAGGCCTATGTTCAGCTGTGGACTTGTGAAGGGCTGTAATGATGATATATATATATATATATTTCGGGGGCAATAAATAAATCTAGCTAGGATTCATTTTTAGAAAATGTCGTTTTATCCGTGTTTTCAGGCAATGAAAAACTGCTAAATTTTTCATTAATAAGATAGAATAAGAAGATAAATGCATTGTCAAAATAATGTTGTTAATGATTACAATAGCACAAATGATATATCGGGTGGGCCCGAAATCGTTGTACCCTGGTTCAAGTCCTGTCTTCGGTACGACTTTTTTTCCTTTTTTTCAGTT